GTAATTTAGATCATCAGATCCCTACCTCTCTTTGCAAAGAACTTGATAGTAATTACCAGAGGAAGATTGGGCTTAGAGGCTCCGTGTTAGGAGATAATGAAGCGGACAAGGGCTTCAGTTTCACAGCTCTTCGGTGCTAACGAGGAGATTCAGCATTTGATTGTTGACTCGTGTGCCACCGCCACAGAACTTTCTCACAATGTTGCTTTCAGAGCTGAAACTTTGCCACGCGCCAGAACAAGCAGTCTTCACACAAAGCTTCCGGATGCTCTGGTGATGAACCGGGATCGAGAGCCTGCAGGCACTGAAACCTCATCTGCTCTCAGGCTAAAGCCGCTCTGTGATCCCTCTGACAGCCTTAGTGGAAACACGTCTCTGTGAAACTGAGGGCTTTTAACAGAGAGTAAAGGAGTCCGATCACCCAAATTTACCAAAAAACACATTTTCTCTCTTACCTCTGCTTGTATCTGAAGAAGCAGATAGTTTAGTTTGATTTGTCCAGGTTTTGAGAGCTGTCTCAGAGATTTCTGATGCTACACCAATACAGTGGAGGTAGTTTGTGATGAACAGTTTTCACAAGAACTTGTTTCTAGAAATATTCCTGTAGAGGTCTTCCAATCCGAAATTGTGGACCTCTTTTAAAACGAGTTTGAACGAAGGAGAACTAACACAGAATTTGTTCTAAGGAATCTGAATACGACCGACATAGCCTAATCCTAAACTAACTTCCAGGCTGTATAAAGAGGCATTCAGGTCCTGCCCTAAAAAAGTGAGCAGATCCACAGAAGACATTATTCAACTGGAGTACTTCTTAAAATCAGTGGTGCGCCCCTTTAAAAGCTTGCACATGTTATTTCCATGCTGTTGTGATTATTCTTTCAGCACAAAAAGCAAGTTTCCTCCATTGTGTGTTAATGAGGAAAACAACAGTAGCACAGTCTGTTGAGGGCAACAAGGCAGCGATGGATCACAGTGGTCGGTGCATTTTACAAACACTCGCGGCTTGAGTACAGGGGATTGCCTGTTGGACATAAACACACTGGATTTATAATTAGCAAAGATCATTAATGTGCAAATAACAGCAGCGAGTCATCTATGTTACAGATACAGAAGTTACAGAAGTAAACTGTAGTAAAGCACAGCCAAGAGCTAGAGCGGATTGTTTCATCATCGCTGACCTGCCTGTAATGAACCTGAGACATTTCATTAAGGAGGAATAAAACTGGGGTTATATGTGTCAATACTAGGTCAACTGATTAATTATACGACCATTTGTGAGCTAGTGATGTTGCCTGGAAAATGATTTCTTAAAAAGAGTTGGCACCCTGATTAATGATGAAGAGATATTGCATTGTACTGATGTTGTTTTTGTTACATTGTAACAAGATGTTGTTTTTGTTGCATTTGGATGAACTGACCCTTTAATCGCAGACTTCAGGAAATGCTTCAGGAGTGCTTGAAAGAATGAAGGAGATCTTTTCCTGCCTGTTCACTGGACTGTGCTGCCCCACATAAACAATTATCTCCCCCCTATACTTACCATCATTAATTAGAGTAAATTACCCAGGCCGTAATTATTTTCTGTTGTTCAGTTTTAAGAAGTCCATTGACGCTGGTCTTGCCGGGGAGCTAGTTAGCGATATTGCCGGCTTTCTCCTCTTTTTACGCCGCATGTGATGGAAATAATGGATGTTTTTTCCTCTTTCTGTAGAGACTGAGTTTTCTGCTGGTGTTCAAATATGCATCACCAGGTACTCCCTTTTTGGAAGCTTGTGTATCCAAAGTTGTACACAGCTGCAGGTTTAAGCTGGACCTACCTACTGCCAAGGATGTTGGTGTCCCATTAGAGGGGGCGAGAATGTCAGACAAAAACATAAAAATGCAGAAGAACTCAAGGCCAGAGGGACGGCCGTGTGTCTTCAATCTGAAAGGTTTCTGTTTCCAGTGAATTGCAAATTGCTGCCCTTTAGAAATGATAAAGTCTTGAGTGCTTGTTGGGGGCCCTCAGTGCAGTGAAGCGAGATGGTCTTTAAAAGGCAAGGTCGCTGTCTCAGTAACGGTTTAAAGCCTTTTCTCTTTTCTGTTACATTCCTTCCACCCTCTCCAGCTGCTAGCTAATATTTTAATATTGTTTCGTTCCTGATGTGAATAATTTGTTCTTCTGCCTGAAAAGAATTTGAAGAGAGGTCGATGAGCAAGAAAAATGCTACAGGCATCACAAAACTGTCTGCAATTTAATTTCTTGCCTTACTGTTAACTCTCTATGACATTCATTTTCTATGTTATTTTTTATTTATTCATTCAATTTCTTTTACGACCTTGTAACATAATGAAAACTATACAGTCATGTTGAAAGGAACATGTATTGACCATGGAAACGAGAGACTCTTGGCTTGGAGGAAGGAGTTAAATGTTGGCAGAGCAAAGGTCCAAAAGTACTGAAAAACAAATAAATGATAAAAATAAATGAAGGTCTTTATCATTATTTAATCTTTCGGCAGTGTGTCGACACAGTTCGTGTGTCAGTGTGCGGAAGTCCTACAGGAGGCCAGTGCACACAAAACCGAGACACTGACCCATTTTACACCGCCTGTCTAGTCAAGTCAGTTACTTTTAATTATTCAGTTCTTGGCATATATATGTATATTTTTTTTATCACAAAGTGCTCCACACAGCAAAGACGTGAAAACACATTAATAAGATAAAGCCAACACTGTGGAAGGTATGAAGTTGGACCTTGTATGTGTGCACGGGAAACAGTATATTGTAGCTCTATCTGATGCTGTTAAACAGCTGAACAAAAGTGTACCGCTCCACGCTCCACGTCCTGCTTCCTACATCAGCCGGATCATAAAAGTCTACAGCTACAGGAATTCTTTTTAAAATATATATATTATTTTCATTGACACATTTTCTTACCACCCAAAGAGGCCTGTGGTAAAAAAGAGAATTCTTTATGTATTTATCAATCAAAGATGCCAAACAAAGTCTGTTTTTGGCTTCTAAAATAGATCTTGGCTTTTAATTTTTTTTTTTAAATAGGAGTAGTTGGTCAGATCAAACAAGTCATTTTAAGATACTATTTAATTTGCAAACTGGCACTTTTTGCTATTTTTGCACATTTGTAAAAGAAAATAATCATAAGTTGCAGCTTTTCTGCAAAACTAACTAACGAGGTTGAATGCCTCTGTGTCTCGACTGATGTTGAGTTTAGATATCATTTACTTATCGTTTTTTTCACTCCTCTCCTTCGGCGCCTCTGATCTGGAAGCTGTTTTCATCTTAAGGAATTCCATCATTTCTCTCAGCATCATTCTCAGTAAATTATTTTGTGCACGTAAAGCCAGAGATGACTGTTCAACACCAACCATCATGTCTTGTTCAAAGTGTTTTACCCAATACAAAGCTCAGCCTATCACCAACTGGCGCTAGGAACCCTGGTCTACCTGATTTATTGATTTACTGTCACATGATGTAGGACTTGATTAAATGTACAATTTGTGTAAAAGAGGTTTTTTGTTATAGCAACTAGTTTAAATTACTCTATCAACCCAGTAGCATCTGTTTTTCATTTGTCTGTGACGAGTCTGCCATACGACGCAAATAAATGTTACTCCCATGTGTGACACATAGCAGGTGCAAGGATACTAAAATAGAAGACAAGAAAGATAGACGTATTTTTTCTTCTAAAACTTATTCTTGGCATTTGTGGCATCTTGGCAGGTAAAGCATGAAGTTAATTTGCAGACACAGCCAGTATGTTCTCGGGGCTCAGAGGCAGATGGTTGAGAACCGCTGGTCCAGATGGTGCCGGTGCATCCGGACTGACCGCAAGTGCCAGCTCTGTGGTTAAGAAGCAATCAGGGGTACCATTTGGCTGGAAAACAGCCAAACCGACACAAACAAGGAACTCAGTTAACTTGACGTTCTCCTCCTCTTTGTCTTTATTTTCCCTTCTCTTCTTCCTTGCTTTCACTTGCCCTCCTTTCCAAGTCTCACAGCTTTGCTGAAGCTCACTCTGGAGGTGCAATCTCACCTACAGTTGGATGTCTTTAGGCTCAAACTGACCATGTGGAAGGGAATCGAGGCTTGTAAACAAAAGTCACATGACTCAGTCGTGGCTGCTTTGGCTGGACAGATGTTTAGTTGCCTGTCATCCTGCCAAGTTAAGAGATTTTTGGCAGCAGAGGGGAGTCCAAATAAATCAGATTTCCAGTCTCTTTATCTTTAAATAAGCATGATGGATTTAGCTGCTTTCCACGCCAGTTAAGAACACTTAATAAATAGCTAAATTTGTGCAGATCGTAATCCAATTGTGATTTCCTTCTGGTTTTATCATGCTTGTTTACATTTTACATTTTTTTTAGGTTCTGAATTGACCAGAGCAATTAGAGATCCATATTGTAGGCATAGTTGTGAGTTTTATTTAAAGTGTGTAGCATTTATAATAATAAATATGTTAGAAATAATATCATAATATCCATGTTTTCATTTTCATGACAAGACAGTAGCCCAGAACGGACGAACCAAACACTGACTTTAGCTGGGGCCTTTCATTCAGATATCTTGGGGAACATGGCTATGCCAGTTTATACATCGCCAAAATTGAGCTTTACTTTGGAGCGTTATTTAACCTCCGTAATGACATGCTAGAATGACATGGATAAGTTAGTCTTCTAGTTTTATATGACACCAGTATCTTCACTCTAACTTTAAAAGCCTGCTACAGCCTCTGACAGACAGCGTGGTGTGAAATTGAGTCAGTTTCCTGAACAGTTAAAAACTCATTGTAGAACTTTTAAAAAACACAGAGGAATAATTCCAAAACCAAGAATAAATCAGTTAAAGAAACCCCCCCATGACCCTGAATGCACAGCACGGTGTTTTTAACGGGGTCTCGCCTCAAAGGTTGAGAAACTGGGGGGTTGGGGGTTGTTTATCTCGTGCTGTATTTAGATACATTACATTACATGATTTGAATGTTGGAGGGTCAGCCACGGATGGGTTTGGGGAGAGAGTTCCAGAGGGAGGGGGCAGCTACAGAGAACGCTCTGTCGCCCCAGGTTCGGTGCTTGGTCCGGGGTGTGGAGTCAGAAGGTTTGCGTCGGATGAGCGGAGGCTGCGGGATGGAGCAGGTCAGTGAGGTAGGAAGGAGCCTGGTTATGGAGGGCTTTGTGTGTAAGGAGGAGGATTTTTACTAATTATTACTATTAATAATTATATTACATATAATCAGTTACTAATATTGTTATATTACAATATTAAGATATCCTGTCAAATATTCCCTCTTGATAAAAATTACCCACAAAGGTAGTTTACTCTAATGAAGAAAAACAGAAGGTTTTACAGTACTTTGCTTCTAAATTAGTACTGTGCTTCATTGACATGTAAGAGTGTAGAAGTGCTCAATTGATTTGTGGATTAATCAAGTGGTCAATTTAAAGGAAATCAGCCACAATTTGTACTCATTCCAGCTTTTAAATGTCAGAATTTGCTGCTTTTCTGTTCTATAGTGTTACCATCTATAGATTAGACTTTTTGTGGTCGCCTTACCTTAAAAGGATGACAGCAGTCAGGCAGTCCAGTGATGTATTGAATTCATTGCAGCGGTCTATCAGTAGTTTGTTTTATTTTAGGCATCTATAGGATCATTGTTAGTTTAGGTGGTGATATTCTTCTCTGCAGCAGATCATATAGTATGTAAGTGATTTTATATTTTCAGAACTTTTAGTAAATGATTCAGTTAGCAGTAAAGGTGAATATACATTAACACATTTGTAAATACTTGATTATTGCTATGATTGTTCTTGCAACTGTTACATACACTCAACACAGCTCTTCTGTCTGTGGCACCATGCAGTAGATATCTAAAAGTGACAACAGAATCAAAGTTATTTTAAGAAACTGCATTCCCTTACAAGTGCAGAGTGTGGAGAAACGCTGAAATTAGCTGCCTGTAGCGACACAATTTACTCAAATTTTCACCTTCAAACACATTTAGTCACAGAGATTACCAGCTGCAGTTTGAACATACATTCGACACTTGTAAGCACCACACAAGTTGGAGATGAGTGAGCACAAGGTCTTAGCATCACGCAGCTATGGGAACTCCAATCTGATTTGCAAAGAACGACTTGACAAACTCAGTCTAATTGTAGCTAAAGCATTGCTAACAAAACAGTATTTGTCACACATGGATTAGCCCATACAGTAAAGCCTCAGAGTGAGCGCCACAGTTTGGAAGAGAGGCACTGCGTCTGAGAGACTGACTGACCTGAATCTGGCTCCCAATCAACAGCTTCTAACTTTCCTCATTAGAAAAGTTTATTTTTCAGTTTGGGGTTTTCAGTTCAAACTTTTCACTCTGCATTAGGCAGTTTCACATCATTTCTTCTGTCTGGGGTCGGAGAC